GCCAGCATGGCTGGCTGGGGAATTCTGGGAGTTGAAGTCTACATATCTTAAAGTTGCTAAGGTTGAGAAGCACTGCTTTAGAGCCAGAAAGCTGAGCCAGCCCAGCACCAACAGAGACATTAGCTAGGAGGGGGCACTGAGGGAGGGTACAGGCAGTAGGAACATGGAAATGAATAATCTAGGTCTGCTGATGGAGATCACAAAACTCTCCACACAGCCTGAGCCTATTGGGCCTCTGTTTCTTCCTTTGAGGAAGTGGGAACTTGATCTTAGCCAAGAGAGGAAGAATCAAACAGAACCAGCTAGACAACCTCCTCTGCAACCACCTGAATACTTAAAATGTCCTTTGATTGCTGGATCAAACAGCTCAAAGGTTCCAAAAACAAATAAACATAAGAGGAAGTAATGGGCATTCCTGATGAGACTTGTTGATGGATAAAGAAATAATTCAATTCATAGTAACCTTGGCTGATGGATTACATTATCATATTTTAACTGAACAGAAACAGAATGGAACCTATCTTAGTTAAATGTGTTCTGAAAATTTGAACTTCACAACATCAAGGTGGTTTTTATTTTACAGCTCTTTGATACACAGACTTTTCCCCATGCCGGTATTTGTTTCCAGTTCCCCCACCTACTCCATTCTTCTTTCCATATATAAGCTTGGCTTGATTTTTTAAAAAACCTTTAACTTCACACTTTCATTAATACCATTTCCATATGTATAGTACACCTGTGGCTTGAGTGCTTGGCTGAAATCTACCTTTCTTTAAAGTCAGCCTAGAAATGTTTTAAATGAAGTAAACTATCTCATTTTAAATGTAATGGGGAAAATGTCTTCATTTAGTAATCCCAACAAAACCCTTCTTCCTGATAAATCAAAAATCTCCACATTATACTTGGTATACTTGAGACCAGTAAGCTTTATTTTGGTTGGAACATGTTCACATGACACAAGAGACATACTCACTTGTATGTTCCATGCTCCAGCTCCCTCATGCTGCTCCTTGTTCTCAGTTTCTTGTGTTTGGAGTCCTTGCAAATTTTTTTTTTTTTTTTTGTGGGAATGAGATCTGTGTGACACAGACCAAAGACCAGGCCTTTTATTGTGAAAAGCAGCTTATTCTATTTTATCACAGCACATAAAAGGTTAAGTACGTCAGGATTAGAAGGGGTATTAGTATTTATTTAGTTTGTATCCTGTCAAAAGAGCATGGTTCTGAACCATTTCCCTTTATATGTATATTTTAGGGGTATATAATTAACTGGCTACAAGTAGTTAGGCAATTGATGAAGTGTAAACCAACCAGTGATTTGTTTTTCTTATTTATATTATTTCTCCATGGAACTCAGAAATGATGGCAGGATGTTTTCCATCCGCTGCTTCCTTCACCAAATTAAGAAGTGATTTGTAAGGCCATTTTTAATGCTGCCAATACTATTAAATCCAATATCCTGGGAATCATAATCAAACCATAATAGGTGCTCAAACACAGGTCATTGCTTTTGACAAGGATGCCTAATCAGATAGTTTTCCATGATTCTGTCAGCTCAGCATTTGGTACCTTCTCTCTATTTAAAATTTTTTAAATACCTGGCTATGGGTAAAAAAATATTACTATAGTCATCTTCTTTGCATTATGCAGAATTATTCCTTCAGACTCTCCTTATGGAAATTAGGTTTATTAATCTCCGAGGACAGTGTTTACCTACAAAATTTGGAAGGGAGCCCCAAGCATTTACTGTTACAACATCTTAGTATACAGGGATAAGAAAGGTGGCAGAGGAGCAAAGTAGATGTTCCAATAAAGCTAAAAAGAGCAGATAAGTTTTTAAAAAGAGAACATGATGTTATGTTTGTGAATGAATGGGGTTTTTTTTATTCAAGCTGTGTACTTGTAAACTTATTACAAAGAGTTTTGTTAGCAAACTCTCATCTAAAAGAAAACATGAATTACAGGTATTCCTCAACTTATGACCACAACAGGGACCAGGAAATTCATTGTTAGGCGGTGCAGTTGTTAAGTGAGATATATATCACTGTGACTTGTTACCTTCCTGCTGGCTTCCCATTGCCTTTGCTTGTTGGAAGCTGGCTGGGAAGGTCACAAACTGTCATAAATCCGTGACAGTTGCCAAGCACCTGAATCATGATCATGTGACTGTGGGGATGCTGTGACAGTTGTAAGTGCGAGGACCAGTTGTAAGTCACTATTTTCCTTGCCTTCATAACTTTGAACAGTCCCTAAATGAATGGTTGTAAGTCAAGAACTACCTGTATAACAATGACCTGGAATTTCTTGTCAGTCGTTGAAGTAGAGAGGGGAACTTCACAACCCCATAAGAAAACTCATTCCCTCAAAAAAAACATAGGAATGAAATTGTTGATTGAATATTATACTAAATTAATAATGTAGGCCAAGAAGGGGGAAGGGGAGAGAGATGATTAATCAGCTACTTATGTCCTTTGGATTTACTATCAATTACAAGAAAAATTTAGTTAATAAGTAAGGCAGAGATCCCGGAACATTTGAATCAGAAGATACATTTAGAATTTCCAGATTTTGCTCTTGCAAAATGGCTGTCTCAGGATAATCTGCTGATTCTATTATTTTTATTTTGCTTTTGTATTATTAATGTGGTTGGTCGCACAGTCAGCCAGATGTTTAGACTGGATTTGGCATTTTTATCCCCCTATCAAGTCCTTC